AGTGACATATATTTTATAGCATTGTATGTGCGCTTTGAACAAAGTTTGTGTAATGTATAGATAATGTGAAGGATGCATCACTCCATACAGTCCACCTCCAAAATTTCTTAACATATTTTTATGAAATTTATTATTTTGGTCTACATAAAAAGTTTAATTTTGGTCAGCGTCATTATAATACAACTCAAAATTGACATGAACTACGAACTTAACTTCATGAAATCAGTCAAAACATTAGTTATTATACAAGGTACTGTATTCGTCCACAACAGAAAATGTATATCTTATTAATATTTCTCTGAAAATTTAAAATATATGTCCACAGTTGAGTTGTGTCAATATATAATGTCCAAATAGATTACATAACCTCCAAAAAGAGGTTGCCAAGACCCACACTGGGTTGTAGAGCCACGGGTGATGATGATATAATTTATACTGCATGCTACATATTATCCTTATACATAGTTAATTAGTTACTGACAGTGGATCTGTATTTGTGGCAATAAATAAACCAAAGCCAGCTCAATGTTGAAATATGTCTTTTCTCTTTCTGTTTTACTGTAACCTTAAAAAGTTTAATTTTATTATTTGGCAATGGGCAGTTTGTTTTTGGGAACCATAAATGTTAGCCTTTATGTTCTACTAGTTATACAGAACTTTTGGGAAAACATTAATAGATTTTATCTAGACACTAAAATTTAAATTATGCATTTTGCAAAAAGTTTTCAATTTATTGACAACTCCTGTGAACATTGTACTCAACCTTTGAGCTCTATAAAAAGCAGGGAACTTGTTGATTAGATTAGAGTTTTAATGTAATTTTTCTGAGGTTTATCACCACTAAATGACAGAGAAAGCTTGCACGCTTGAATGCGGACAACTGCTATTATTGTGGAAGTGAATAGCGTATGGTGACACTAATTAGAAAGTGGCATAATTAAAATCATTAAGATGTTTTTCAGTCGGTGCATTTATAAGTTTGATGGAAGGATAAATGAGTTCAGGGAGACAGTATTGTTTAAAAAGATAAATTAAAACTAGACTGGATTTCATACAAGTATTTAATATAATAAATACTGCAATATATAAAAATACAGTAGTTTAAAAGACGTGAGTTATAAAATCCATAGAAAAATGTTATAATAAAAATATATAAAATTCATAAATGTGTGAAGGCTTCATATTGCATAATATTACAGTTAAGTCACGAGAAGTGTTTTTATTTCCTAAAAAAATAGATTTCAGTATTAGATTTATGTTCAGATGCAGAAAACATAATTCATGTATTTGGATCTTAATACTGCCCATGCATCACAAAATAGCAACTGTAAAATCCAAAGAATGTGTTACACATAGGCACGAAGGATGTAATGGATGGAACTTCGCTTAATTCAGGTGCTTATGCATGTAGCGCGATGACCTAGCAAAAAATCTGAATTATGGCAACTCATGTGGAAATAAAACCTGTTTCCTTTACTCACATCCATTTACATAACAATTTCTGTGATGCATTAAACAAATTGCTATTAGTGAAGTCATACAATTGGATCCAGTATTAATTCTGTTCAGTCACTCTCATATCAGATGAATCACGCATCTTACACTATTTAATCATGTGGTGTCATTATTTTCTGAGCAACATGTTTATAAATTAAATCTAATATTCATCATGATCATTACATTTTCTTTTATATACGTCACTGCACAACCATGCAAATATTTGTATCTAATGCTGATAATCAATAAAACAAAGTAAGATAAGATATAAGAAAATATAATGAGCCTGAGTTGGATTAGACTCTAGCAGAAACATGTTGCTCAGAAAATAATGACATCAGTGAAAACCTTCTGAAAACAAAAAAATTGAAATCATAAGAACTGTGATATAACTCGCACAAGTATGTGTGAAGTGATGGTGAATGAAGAGAACATAGCAAACACACCAGGATGCTAAAACACAGAATTAGATCCAATCTTATTTGTACGTCACATTCTTAGATCAAGTAGATGCAGTGTTGCAACTTATCACAAAATTTAACAGAATATTTTGTTTAATTTTATGATTATACAATCTCAATGAAAATTAAAATAAACAAATAACTTGTGTTATTTTTATATTTTAGAAAGATGTAACATCTAGGATCATCAGACATAATTAATAAACAAAAATTATGATCTCTGTGAATATATCATGAGAATTATATCAGTATTTTAAATGGGCAAAATTTGGTGTTTACCTGTCATGATTTACATTCACTGAACATTAATGCAACAGATAAAGTATGATATAAATAACAGAAGTAATATATATATATATAGGATACATGCAGATTTTGTCATTCTAAAATTACTTTTTCTTTAAAAAATGGTTCTAGACTTAAAAATGTACAAAAAAAAGAATTTCTATAACTTTTCTAAAATATATTTTATTGTTATGATTACTTTTAATTAGAAGAGCAGAAGACTAGATCACTGACATGCTCACATAAAAAATGGACACCAGTTTTACAAATTTAGGACAAAGAACCAAATAATATCTAGTTACAGAGTGATATAGGCAATTCTTGATTTCAGCTCAGAACTCTGCAGCATGTTCTGTTTTATATGTACGTGAGTTGGTAATTTTTGAAGATTCGGAACATGCATCCAGTGCCTGAGGAAAAAAGTGCTGGTATATCTCAGTTTTGCCAAATAAACCATTTGGTAAATTTATGACTTCAGCACATTAGTCAGTTCAGACCTTACCTTATAAAACCACTATTCTATGTAATATTTCTGGAAGCAGATATCTACAACCTTAAAAATTCATAAATATCAGAATGTTCAAACCTATTCATTTTCTTATCCTCCATACTGTACACATTAACATACAAAGGCACATTTTATCATATTTGTCATTAATTGCTCACAGCATAAAAAGGCACATTACACAATATTTAACTGTGTTAACTGTCAGACTCTATTTCTGATTAGGCAAATATTTAACGAGAAAAACAAAAATTCTTAATTTCATCTTGAAGTAAAGTAGTAGCTCCAATTATAAGTTTCATATTCCATGAACATTGGAAAATTAAAATGACATCAAAATCCATTCACCAAGAACACCACTAACATTAGTTCACTGATAAGCACAGATGACTTTCAAGCAAAATGTTTTAAACCACTCACTTCATTATCGATTTACTTCTTTTGGACTTTATCCATCATCTGTCGAAAGTTTTTAAACTGTCTTAAAAATCACAATGTTTTGAAGGATGGGTATTTCTTCACCATCAGGTACAGAGGGATAAAGTGAGGTGTGTTCCTCTGTAACTGATGATGGAGGGAAGATCCACCCTTAAAAACACTGTAATTTTTTAATAATTTAAATTTCAGCAGGTAATTGATAAATATCAAAATAAAATAATTACTATAATAACATCACCATAGACATTCTGAAAAAAACACGCATTTCATACTGTAATAAATACTTCTCACTGATTGGTCGTGAATCCTGCTAACCACCAATGCACACCATGCTGAATGGTGTGTACTGGATATTAAAAAAAAAAATTCTCAATTTGAATTTTAGAGAAGACATTAGTACTGAGAACTTTTAAAGTCTGATACATATAAAGAAAATGCCTGAACAAAATCAAGAAAACTTAATTGGTTTAATCTGGTTAAAATGAAGTATGGTATATAAATAAGATAACGTTAAAATACCAGTAATACTAATTCCATTTTTAAGGCAAAGAAGAAGGATTTTCACTTATTATAAATGTCTTCTGTATAATGAATGTGCATAGTTGATTTATGCTCATTCAGACTTCCCATTTCAAACTTTATGACTATTTTACACATATGACAATTATATGTAACATTCTTATAAAGTACTCCTGATCATAAGTACCACACCATCCATGCACATTATTCGTAACATGGTGGTAAAGCTTATAATTCTCATCTTTAAATTGTATTATAAACTCGAATATGTTCTACTTAACTACTCATTCATTGTGCATTACAAATCATTGTAGTGAAATATTCTAGAGAGAGCATTTTTTACAGAATACATTAAACTTAACAATATATAAGTGTTTGTGATGTCATCGATTTATAAATGAGTGAGTGAGAAAGAAAGCATGTGTGTGTGTGTGTGTGTGTGTTATCCCCCTATAGTCCTAATCAGAACTATTCACCAGTCAGTACAATTACTTCTTCACACAAATACAGCCAATATTTTAACATGTATTAAACAACATATGACCAGCTGAAAATAGCTGTTGTCAACAAATATGAAATGTAACAACAAAAGTCAGCTGCTTCCAAATGCAAATTATTCTCCGCTTTCTTTCTGTCAAATATTCACAGGGAAAGTTCAAAGCGTGGGAAAAATATTAGTGTTGTATTCTCTTATCAGAACCGAACAAGATGGTGGGTGAGTGATAGTATGTCAAGCATGGAGATCAGATTGCAGTTATGAAAGTTTTATATTATTTAGCATGTACTGTAGTGCTAAAAGTATCATGCAACAATTTACATTAGTAATCAATAGACATTTTTTACTGAATTAAACTGAATCAAACCAAATTATATGTTGCCATGTACTTATTCCACTTTCATTTTTTCTTGCTTACAACATACTAAATTGCCCTAGAACCAAACCACCATGCCTCACCTCAACAGTGCCACATGACAACTTCATAGCCTGACTAATGGTGATTGGTTTAGTCTTAATCACATCGTAATTATTACTGCTATGGCACAACTAACAGTCATTCACATACTTGTCTGCTTTTTAGTAGTTCATTATAATTTTTATGAGCCGGCGTAGCTCAGTCGGTATAGTGACTGGCTATGGGCTGGGCGACCGGGGTTTGATCCCCGACAGGGGCAGAGGATTTTTCTTCTAGCCTCTGCGTCCAGACCAGCTCTAGAGCCCACCCAGCCTCCTGTCCATTGGGGTACTGGGGTCCATTCCCGGGGGTAAAGCACAGCCGGGGCATCATGCTGACCACTCACCCCCATCTAGTGCTGAGGTCAAGAAAGAGTAGGAGCTATACCTCCACCCCTTCAAGCGCCTATATGGCATATAATGGGACAGCTTTTTTATTATAATTTTTATACTTCTTTTTACAGTTGACTGCATCTCCTTTTATAAACTGGAGACAGGTTCCACTACGTGTTGAAAATTCATACACCCAACTTTCCAAAGCTTAAGATCTAAAAGCAGTTTCTAGGTGAGAGTTGGAATGCCATTATTTCATTTAATGATACTTTATAAACAGCCTTGGATGATTGTGGATGATGAACTGAAAAGGACAAGTCATGCCCCATTTTAAGGTACCATTCAGTATTTGTCTACATGGACTAATAAACATTTAAAAAAGTCAGGATGGTCAGTCCCCAAGTATGAATGTGAACCTCCCAAATGCAAAAAACAAGATTGCTAATAATACATGCACAATGTTCAGTAATACAAAAATGGATGAGAAAATTATGGAGCGTAATATAATTATAAATGCAAAGTACTCAATGAGATCCTATACTGTTAATAAACACCATTGCTTTGGTATATAATGAAACTGTTTACCTACAGAAAATTAAATAGAATCTTAATCCACAAAATTCATTGCACATCTGCGATTTATGCCTTCTACTGACATTCACACTATTACAACTCTATACATATATAAAACATATGATAAGAAGTAAAAAAACAAAACATAACTCCAGTGCAGAATTAGGTGCTTCAAACTTTGGATGCAGTTTTAGCCATCACATGGTTTCAGTTCCACTTCAATTGCTTTCACCAACTTGTATTCAGTAATGTGTTAATTACTGCAGCTTCCACTACATTTTGGTCTAGGCTTGACGGGCGTTGTTCTTGGTGTTTGTTTCAGTGCTGCAAGCAATCACAACTAAATGTAAGATCACAGACTATGTGACACTCTCTCAGAAAATGATTCTCAACACGTGAGACAACAATTAATATGCAAGATTTCAAGGACAAGGTAAGTGACGCTAGTTGGCATATAAATCAAATATATTTAAGAACTATAACTTTTATGAAAGTTACAAAATATAACTTTAAGAAGAATTACATGGGCGGGACATGTAGCGTGCATGGATGGGACAAGAGATGTGCACTGGGTATTGGTTGGGAAGCCTGCGGGGAAGAGACCGCTGGGGAGACCTAGACGTAGATGGGAGGATAATGTCAGGCAGGATCTATGGGAGATATGAGTTGAAGGAGACTAGATTTTGTTGGCCTAGGACCTTCGGGTTCAGTAAGCCATCTAGTTAGTTAGCAAAATATAACTAACTCTATCATATGCCTGAATAACGTTGAATTTACAAGTTGGAGAGGTGCACATTATCATACACAGGAACCTTCAAGGAACTACATAAAACAGCACCTTTATACCCTGGCTTAGCGTTTTTCTCCTACTGTACCATTTATTTACGGTTTATTTAATGATGCTGTCAGTAGCTCATACTACGTGAGATCAAATTATAACATGATTAATGAATAATGCATTAGAAAGGATATGGAAGAAAGTGACTATCTAATTTAAGGTATTACCCTGACATTTACCTGGACAATTCTAGGAAAACCACAGGAGAGCCAGTTTCCAGGCTGAGATTTGAACCTGGGATCTCCTAAATACAATGCAGTTGTGCTAATCACTTGGATGCAATGTTAGATTTAAATATAACAAATTTAAATTTTATGTTTAAAAGTGGTATTTATATGATATGTTAATGTAAGCAAGGCCTAGTTAAATGTGTCACTTTACATAACTTTCATTATGTAGTTTCCATGAAGTACTGGTTACATATATTCACAATGCCACAGAAGTTTAATTTACATGCAGACTCTCTTACACTATAGTATGTGATGGCATTAATCTTGACCTCAATATGTTGAATGAAGAAAATGTACAACACATAATATTCTTTACTCAACATTCTTCAAAGTACAGCTCTAAAGATGCATATACATGCCTTCAAATAAAGCAGTAGTTCATAATGTCCAGTGTGGACAAAATAATATATAGCAAACAAATTTGAGTAGCAAAATTTAAAAAATCTTATCCAAATGCAAAGCTAATAGCCACAGGTCCAATTAATAGTGACAGCTTTAATACTGTGATACACGTACCCATTTTTTATACTGCAAGGTCTTCTCTAAGTTGATGAGGTGAAAATGCACATTGCTGACTCAAGGACAAATAAACAGAATGTAATATGAACCTTTACTTACTGACCAAGTCGGAGCCTACTGTCATTGCTTTACAAGATGCTTCTTTTTCTCGACATACAGAACTATCAAACGCTAGGCCAGCCATTCTGCAGAACAGTTCAGATACTCCATCACCAGTACGTGATGACACTGCCCAGAATTCAGCTCCTACTTGCTCTGCTAGTCGCAATGCATGACCCTCCACTTCTGAGAATGCTGTTCTTGTCTAAATAATATAATATAATATACATCAAAGCAAGTAAGTACTTGATTCATCTACTAATTTCATAAGAACAAAATTTCAATTAACCTTTCACCACGCCTAACACAGTAAAACATAGCAAAAGTGAATATTCTCTGTCACACTCAGTACTCTGAAATATAATCAATTCTAAAAGATTCTGATGATGGTATTTTTTATTATTATTACTTAGGATGGAAACAGATCAGTTTCTAAAAGATTATGTTGTTTTCAGAATACCAGACAATAGGACAAAGTGCAGATATCAAATAATACTAATTTTCAAACATAGTATACAAAGGTCATTTAAATTAACTGGGCAGATAGCGTAAGGATATTGCAAATTTAAATGTTAACACTTAAATGAAGTCAAAACTCTCTAACTGTTGGTATGGACAGTGTAATTACTTTATTTTTCACTTGTACTTAGTATTTAAAAGTATAATATGCAAGAAACAATACTAAATATACACACAGATTCAGCAAGTGAACTTTACTCAGAAAAGTTTAATGAACAAAGGAAATACATCAATAAAGACATCAATACTGACATGGAGTTCAAGAACCTCATTTTTAAAATATAACATACTCTTTCAATAAAGAATCACTGAAGGGGTCAAATAAAAAAGATATACAAACCAGAGTAAGGAAATAATGAACACAGATACAAGAAGAGGGTAAATGGTAGTACAGAAAAAATGCAGGAGGCTCTGTCATAAGACAATCTACCATGGTAGACATGTTAATGGAAAATGATCATAACTCGACTAGTCACTGACTGGTCCAAACAATATATTCAATTTCTTCTTGTCTGTCTCCTATGTTTTAGACTTGCCATTGACACTATTCTTGAATTAAAATTCAGCAGAATGAGCTGGGTTTTAAACACTCATTTTGATATAACTAGTTCTCATAAATTATCTTTTGCCTTACCTAGTTATAATTCTTGTCAGTGAACAGCAAATATAATTCTCTTCATTACCTCAGTTTTCATAAATATCTTCAATTGTCAATGAGACTGTAGTTTCTATGTCTGCCATATTAATCAATCTATATTTTCACTCAACTTAAGTATCAACAAATACTGGAATTTCACTTGAGTTTATTTAACCGCCATTCTACTTGGTATAGTACCATGCATATTTTACATACAATAATGCAAAGGCCTTCAAGTAACCCAAAGAATATTTATCCCTCAAAACTTTCCGTTTTATGGTATGGGGGAAAAAGTTATTTCCCATGTTACTTTCCACATAAGGATTCTGATTTGAAACAAAACTAACAAAGTCAGTATATCTGACACCATACCATAAGATCTCTCTTCGTTCCAACAAGAAAGATATGTGGTGAACCAGAATTGGCATTGAGAGCTTCTTCCAGCCACTGGGGGCAGTGTGAGAGTGACATGAGGCTTGAGAGATCAAACACAACCACTATCACTGTAATAGATAAGCACGGTGTTACCTTGGCAAATGAATAAAACATCTTGTGTGTTTATAGGAGCATATGCAATTAAGAGCATTTTACACGTGTACACACACAAAAATTCATTTGATATAACTAATTAACTAGATGGCTTACTGAACCCGAAGGTTCATCACCAAATTAACCAGAGCCCTCCAACAGACCCTGTCCTGGGCCAACAAAATCCAGTCTCCTTCAATTCCTATCTCCCACAGATCCTGCCTGACATTATCCTCCCATCTACGTGTAGGTCTCCCCAGCGGTCTCTTCCCCACAGGCTTCCCAACCAATACCCGGTGCACAACTCTTGTCCCATCTATGCGTGCTACATGCCCCTCCCATCTCATTCTTCTTGACTTAATCACCCTGACAATATTGGGGGAGTAGTACAGATTTTTAAGCTCATCATTATGCAGTTTTCTCCATGCCCCATCGCCTTCTCTCCTAGGCCCAAATATCCTCCTCAACACCCCATTCTTGAACACCTGCAATCTGTGTTCCTCCCTCTGAGTGAGAGACCATGTTTCGCACGCATACAAAACAACAGGCAAAATTACTGTTTTGTATACTTTAATTTTCAGGTTCTTAGAAATCAGATGGAAAGACAAAATATTTTGAAATGAATTCATTTGATATACACAGATTTAATGAGTTGTATGTTGCACTGGCATCAGCAGCTATGTAAGAATTTGAAACAAGCTTTGCATCATTCAACAGATAGTTTATATGCAAAAGATAAAAGTTCTGTCGACTACAATTTATGTCTCAATTTAAATTTATCATGTGTTGACATCTCAATAGCAAACATTTGAAATAACACAAAATGTAATATATCACTGAAAATTTGCATTCCTTTCATGACCCTTTTTATGATGAACCATTAATAAAAACAAATAAAAGACAACAATACTGGAATTTATTTCATGTCACTTTATTAATACACTTAAAAATATGATAGCACTATGCTGCTCATTTCAGTAACAATTACTTCATTATGATCCTCCTATAAAATATTATTGTGTAATTGTATTAAAAATATGAGTGAAAGAAAATCAGGTTTTTAAGCATGTGGACATTCTGAAGTAATTTTAAAGTACTTTCCAGGTACAATGTGTTTGATACCTTTTGAAATTAGCAATTGTTGTTTATGCAATAGACGCTAGAATTCATGTCAAAAATAGACTCACCATGAGCAGCACGGTAATATGAGGAGGCAATGCACTTGAATCTCTCCTGACCTGCAGTATCCCATCTGTAATTACAAGTTTAATAAAATTTTCTTGACTCTCCCTCTTTCATTCTGTATTTTATAATAATATTTGGCCTCCTTTCACATTTTGATAGATGCTTAAGATAACACTGTCAGTGTGCATGTGTAGATATCTCCCTGTTCATCCTTTTTAACCATTAAAACATCCGGTCAGTTTCCATGAAACCTGGCACGAATATCATGCCACTGGAAGATCAGCAAACTTCTGAGGTGGGAGTACCATACACTGTAGAATGCAAAGATTATGTATGGTAATAGAGATTTAAAGAAGCTATCATGTTTGTTTAAGTAATTTCTGGATCACATTGGCATAGAAAACATGAAGGAGAAAACAACAGAAATGTATGGCACATCAAATTCAGTTTGGTGTTAGGTATTTTACATATACTAGAGCAGAGCGCTCCTTTCGGAGCTCCTCGGGGGGTTGGTGAAGTTTTTAAAACGTAACCACCCCCCCCCTCGGGTGGGTTAGTTGATTTTAAAATCTTGTGTAAGAAACTAAACCAACCCCCCCCCGAATGGGGGGGTTAAAACACTTGACCACCCCCCTTCGGGCAGGTTAGTTGCGTTTTAAAATCTTG